CTAAAGACATATATCATCTGGAGCGTCTGTGAACTTTTCAGTGAAAGGGAAAGTGGAGTATAAAACATTTGACTGAATCAGAACTGGAATCCAAAGGGAAGAAAAGGAATACAAATATGTGGGGCATAAAGAAAAAACCTAGCTAAGATAACAGATATAAATCCAACTGTATCAAACTTTTAATTAAATACAAATAGGCTAAATATTCTAATTAAAATATAAGGATTGTCAAACTGAAAAAGTACACAAAGAAACAGAAAACCCAAACCAACCAACAAAAGCAGTTATATGTGGCTTGTAAGAGATATATCTAAAAAATATAGATCCACAGAGAGGATAAAAGTAAAAAGATGGAGAAAGTTATGCCATGAAAACACTAAATAAAACCTAAATTGACTATATTACTATCAGACAACAGATTTTAAAGCAAAAAGAATTATTAAACAAACTTTGGGCCAGGGAGTTAGCTCAGTGGCACTGCACCTGCCTTGCAAACGCAACGTCCTGAGTTCAATCACCGGTACAAAAAAAAAAATTCAAAAGCTTTGATAATGATATAATGATAAGGGAGGAATCAATCCATCCCAGTCAATCCAAGAAAGCATTACAATTCTAAGTCTCTATGCACACAACAACATGGATCCAAATAGATACAGAAACAGTTGATAGAATTAAAATAAGAAAGTAGCAAAAATATAGTGGGATATTTTTACATCCACAATTTAGAAATTTGCTGTCACTTGGGGAAGTGCTTTTCAGTACCTACTCTACCATTTTAGTCTCCCAACCATGCACACACAGAAACAAGGTTGGATTTGGTTACCATGGGGAGGGAAGAAAGTGAACCCTGAGAAACCTCCATCCATGAGGCACAAACTAAAAAGACTGCTGAAGACTAAGGCTGGGCCAGCCAAACTGAGACAGCTTGTTGCCCCTACTACAAGACAGTGGGGAAAGAATTGCTCTGTGGTTCAGGTTTGCAGGGACTCCTGAAAGTGAAGAGTGGAGATGGAATACTAAGGAAAGCTCTTTGACATGTCCAAAGCCCACAAGCAAGAAAAAAAAAAGGCATCTACCAGAGAGATATGAAATTTGTAGGCTCTGCAGGTAATAGTAGAAACACTGAAACCCAAAGCAAGCTTAGCTCTCGATGACATTGACTCACTCCTCCATACCAATAGCCAGACAGAAGATGTGTACCCAGTTCCAGGCAGATATCCTATGATGTGTGACCTCTAGTCTTCTATCCATAATGTGCATAATTTAATGAAAATGATAAGATGTACAACAAAGTAAAATTTAAAATAACCTATTCGCAAGAGAAAGCAATAAAAGCACTCAAAGATGACTCAGATGTTATTTTATCAGATAGGGGCATAAAAATAACTATAATTAATATGTTCAAAGAACTAGTGAAAATGTATACAATATGCATACAAATGGGAATTTAAGCAAACTAATAGAAACTATAAAAAAAAATGTTTGGCTCCTTTATCAAAGATGAGATGGCTGAGGGTGTCTGATGTTTCTGCATCTTCTAATCTGTTCCACTGGTCCTCAGGTCTGTTTCTTTGCCAGTACCATGCTGTTTTTATCACAGTGGCTTTGTAGTATAGTTGCAGGTTGGGGACTGTGATACCCCCTGCCATGTCTCTGTTACCTAGAATTGCTTTTGCTATTCTGGGTCTCTTCTTGTTCCAAATGAATTTGTGGATTGTTTTCTCAAGGTCCGTGAAGTATGCTGCTGAGATCTCAACTGGAATTGCATTGAATCTATATAGCAGTTTTGGAAGTATGGCCATTTTCACTATATTAATTCTTCCTACCCAGGAACAGGGCATGTCTGTCCATTTTCTGATATCATCTTCAATTTCTCTTTTCAGAGTGCTATAGTTTTCAGAGAAGAGGTCTTTGATTTCTTTTGTTAGGTTGATTCCTAGGTATTTCAGTTTTTTGGATGCTATTGTGAAAGGAATTATTTGCCCTATTTCTCTCTCAGTGAGTCTGTCATTCGTGTAGAGGAAAGCTATTGATTTTTGTGTGTTGACCTTGTAACCATCTACTTTACTGAATTTGGTTATTAAGTCTAGAAGACTTTTGTTGGAGGAAAGATAGCCTCTTTAATAAATGGTGCTGGAAAAATTGGGTTTCAACTTGCCAAAGATTAAAACTAGACCTATATCTCTCACCATGCGCTAAACTAAAATCAAAATGGATTAAAGATCTAAATATTAAAATAGAAACGCTGAACCAGTTGGAACAGAAGTTAGGTAGAACTCTTGAAGACATTGGGGTAGGAAAAGATTTTATGAACAAAACCTCAGTTGCCTGTGAACTAGCACAAACAATCAACAAGTGGGATCTCTTCTTATTAAAAGGCTTCTGCACAGCAAGAGAAACCACCAGCAGTGTGAAGAGACAACTCACAATGTGGGAAAAAATCTTCACTTGCTTTTCCTCAGACAAAGGTCTACTATCTCGAATCTATAAAGAACTTAAAATGATCAGACCTCCCAAATTTAAAGATCCAAGCTGAAAATGGGCATCTGAAATGAACAGACTTCTCAGACAAGGAAGTAGAAATAGCAAATAAATACATGAAAAAATGTTCAGCATCACTGGTCATTCGAGAGATGCAAATGAAAACAACACTGAGATTCCACCTCACACCAGAAAGAATGGCTGCTATCAAGAAATCAACCAATAACAAATGCTGGCAGGGCTGTGAGGAAAGAGGAACCCTGCTCCACTGCTGGTGGGAGTGTCAGCTGGTGCAACCACTGTGAAAATCAGTATGGAGATACTTCCAAGAAATAGGACTGGAAGTCCCATTTGACCCCACTATTCCACTGCTGGGGATCTTCCCCAAAGAATTACACCACAGTGATATATGTGCACCCATGTTCATAGCAGCACAGTTTGTGATAGCTAAAACTTGGAAACAGCTGAAATGCCCATCAACTGGAGACTGGATCAAGAAAATGTGTTTTTCTTTATATAAAATGGAGTACTACTCAGCCATAAAAAATGAGAAATTACAGACATTTATAGCCAAGTGGATGCACATTGAGGTGATACTCCTAAGTGAAATAAATAGGACACACAGGTATAAATACTGAATAGTTTCTCTGCTGTGAGAAATTGAAAGTGTAAATAAGGACTAAAATGTATAATAGGTCATGTGAAATAGGAAGAAAAGGGGCAAAGGGGAAGGAAGTGGGAGGGGTAGGGGAAAGGAAAGAAGGGAATGGGATTAATATGAGAAAATGGAAAAATAGGTACAAAATCTTTGTAAATAGGGAGGAATGGAAGGGTTGGAGGGCTGGGCAAGGGTGAAAAATAAGAACCAAAAGAGGTTATGTAAAGGTGCAAATTTCCAATGATGAATGTCATTATATTGTACACCTAAAATGTACCAATGATTAGAATGAATAATCAATAATGCAAAATAGGAAGAAAAGGTCCAAAGGGGTAGGGGTAGTGGGAGGGGCAGGGGAAAGGAAAGAAGGGAAAGAAAAAATGATGAGAAATGGAAATAAAGTCTTTGTAAATAGGGAAGGGTGGAGGGGGTGAAGGGAGGGCTAGGAATGGGGAAAAAATAAGAACCAAGATGCATTATGTAAAGGTACAAGTTCCCAATGAGAAATGTAAATGTGTTGTATACCTAAAATGTACCAATAAAAGAGTTTAAGAAAAAAAAAACAGAAATGTTAAAAACAGAACTCATATAAATACGACACACCTGTGTAAATACCAAAGTTTCTCTGGTGTGAAAAACTGAAAGTGTAAATAAGGATCAAAAGGTATAATTGATATTATGTAATAGGAAGAAAAGGTCTAAAGGAATAGGAGAAGTGGGAGGGGTAGAGGAAGGGAAAGAAGGGAAAAGGAAAAATATGAGATAAGGAAAAAATGGAAACAAATTCTTTGTAAATAGGGAAGGGTGGAGGGGGTGAAGGAAGGGCAGGGGAATGGGGAAAAAATAAGAACCAAGATACATCATGTAAAGTTACAAGATCCCAATGATGAATGTAACTGTACTGTACACCTAAAATGTACCGATAAATGTAATGGAAAAAATACAAAAAAAAATAGTACTCATCATATCAGAAATAAATAAGCCTTTCACTGATTTTATCAGTATAGATACAGCTGAGGAGAGAATCAGTGAACCTGAAGATATGTCAACAGAAATTATCCAGACTGAAACACAAAGAGAGGAAGAAGAAGGAAAATGGAAGAGAGAAATAGAATGGGAGAGAAAAGGCAAAAAAGAGAAAGCAGAGAACCTAAGAACCATGGGACAATATCAAAATGAATTAGAGTCCCACAAGGAGGAGAGACAAAGAATGCACCAGGAAAAACCTTTGAAGAGACAACAGCTAAGTTTTTCTGAAATTAATAAGTCCAAAAGAAAAAGCCGCAACTCAAAACTCAGAAAACTGTAAATATAAGAAGCAAAACCCTAGATATATCAATCAAATTGCTAAAAACCAAAACTAAAGAGAAAATATTGAAAGTAGTGAAGAGTGAAGGAAAAAAAGAAGCTATATAATACAGAGGAACATACAGAAGAAAAAAGATGGATTTACATCATATTCCTTGTCTGAGCCTATAAAATTCCAAAGAAAAGAGTAATTTAAAGTATAGGAAAAAATCCTGTCAGTCCAGAATTCCTTGCTAGATAAAAATATTTCAAAAGTAAATACAAAATAGTTTTGCTGTTGGTAAAAAGCTTAGGGTACTTATTTCTAGGAGACTTACAGTACAAGCATTATTAAAGGGAATTTTTCAGGTAAAAGGAATATAAGACCAAATATAAATACGGATCTAAATAGAGTGCTGGAAATGGTAAGAATAGAGTAAATGTACATTTTTTTCTTATTTATAATCACTTTGAAATATAATTATGAAATCAATAACAATGTATCTGAGGCCTATTATAAAATTCAGAAATAAAATGTTATAACAGTATCAAAAAAGACGCAGAGGAAATGAAATTACACCAGTCTAAGGTTTTAATATCATGAAAGTGGTATAAATCTTTCTGTAGTCAATAGCCACACAAATTCTTGTCTGCATTTAATTACTATCCAGAACAAATGCCTACAAGTCAAAATACCACAAATAATTTGAGGCTTCTCGAAACCCAGAATTATTCATATCATTTGTTAGGATAATTTACAACTTAAAACATTAATTTTAAAGAAATAATTAGATCTTGGCAGAAACTACTCTGCTTAGACAATGACTGGCAACTAGTAAGAACAATCAAATCTTGTCATTAAACATTCAAGGGAATTTCAACTAAAGTCATAATCTCTCAATTTTAGTTTTGGTTTCATATTAGGAATATGAACATGCTTGGAATGCTATAAACAGTTCTGACATGAATTTATAATATTCTGTTCATATCAATATTTTGTAAATAATTTTAGAAGACCTTTATTTTTACTTAATATTACTTAATATTATTAAATATTTTTACTTAATGTTCAGTTGGTAGCAGTTTAGGTTATACTTGAAGCTAATATTTATTTCTCTATATATCTACTTACTTAATTAGCCATTTGAATATTGTTTGTTTTTTAAGACAGGGTCTCACCTTGTACTTCAGACTGGCCTTGAACTCACTATGTCGCCTAAACTGGCCTCAAACTCGCAGCAATCCTCCTGCCTCAGCCTCCCAAGTGCTGGTATTACAGGCATGAGCCACTATGCCCACCCTGATTGGCCATTTGTATTAAAGTTATTTTACATTGTTAAAACTCAAAAATTAGGCTCTAATTAATATAAATGAATTCTGGTTATCAGTCTTTTATATATAATATGAATATATTTGATATATATTATTTAAAATTCATTTATTTTACCCCTCTGTGGGTTACTTCACTTATGATATACAATGATCTAAAACTGTCACTTTTAATATAACCCAATTTATCCATTCCTTTGTGGTTAGCACTTTTCATATCCTGTTTAAGAAATCTCTTCCTACTCCAAGTCATTGAAAATGGTCTCCTGCATTTTCTTACAATAGCTTTATTGTTTTACTGTTCATGTTATATTCTGCAACCCATGTTCAATAGATTTCGTGTATGGTTTCAACCAGAAGCTCAGATTTTTTTTCACATAGATATCTAATTGACTTGGAACTGTTTATTAAAAATACAATTCATTCCCAGTGTACTAATGTCATCTTTGTCATAAGATAAATCCATGTTGTGAAGTAGGTGGTGGGTTTTCTTTTGAATTCTCTATTATGTTCCAGTGTTCTATTTGTCTTATCTTTGCACCAGTAGTACTCTGTCTTAATCATTGTAGCTTACTATAGTAACTTTTAACATCTTGTACTCTGTTTTTGTTTTTTTTTCAGGATTGTTCTAGTCATTCTTGGTTTTTATTTGAATGTAAATTTTAGAAGTCAATGTCTACCAAAAAAAATTCCCTTTTGATTAAGAGTGTACTGAATTTATACATCTACATCAACTTGAAAAAATGGCTAGTATCTTTATAATTCATAAATATATAATATATTCTTCCACTTATTTAGATTTTTTAGTTTTTCTTAGGATTGATTTGTAGTTTTCAGTGTAAATGTCTTGCATGTGTTTCGCTAGTCCTAGGTATTTGATATGATACACTTGAAGATGGGATTTAGGTACTTTCTCAATTCAGTATTTTCAAAAGAAAAGAAGGTAACACATGGATTTCTATTCTTAGACAAGGGAGGAAGGAAGGCAGGGAGGATCTTTCTCTTGAACTATTGGAAGCAACCAGATGTAAGAGAACCCATTCCACCTTCCCAATGGTCCCCCTGCCAAGTCTGTCACCATTTTCCACTGTGGCTTCTGAAGCACACATCTGATTATAAACAAGGTCTCCTGTACACCGAATCTCTACTTCTGCCAAAAAGGAAAGCCCACCGCTCATTAAGGATACTTGCAGCCTTAAGGAAGGAAAGTCTACCTTTCTCCCAGATTCCAGTTTTCCCAGCTTTCTCAGGTAAATCCTTTTTCCCCTCTTTGAAGCTCAAAACTAACAGCAGTATCACCATCCATCCACATTGTGTCTGCTATGTAACATGCAGTGTGTTAGATAAAAGCCAAAACCAGTAAATCCTTCTAGAGGTCAAAATCTAATGAGATAACAGGAAACAATCACCAAAACTAGTAACTGCCAAATATGAAGGAAAAGCATAGGAATACACATGAGAGAATGACCAGGACTTAGTCAAGCCATGAGTGAGACAAAGAATATCCTAACATGAGAACAGGAAAGAAGGAATGAGCTGAGTTTTCAGAGAATCAAGGGAAGCAGTGGGGAGGACAGCAATGGAGGGTGGGCAGTCCCAGATCATGCAGGCCTTGAGGTCCATGATGAGAACTTTGGATTTTATTCAAAGAGCAATCAGAACCTTGGATAGAATTTTAAAAGTTCATTCCCTATCAAAGCCATCTATTCATCTGCTCACATTTAACTAAGATGCTTTTTCTTCTTTTTCACTCTAATTTCCGGCACGTTCTAGAGAGCTTTGCTATCCAAAGCTTCTCAATTACTCAATATCTTGGCCTCCACTGACCTTCACTTCCATTGCTAGTGGTTTTTCTTCATTTTTTTCCTGTCCCAAACTCCTCCACCTCTGAAAATCAAATTTCAATATTTCATTCTTGGACTATACTTCTCACCAATCCTACTCCTCCTCTATTCCCTAACACCTACCACACCTATCTTTTGATCTTTAAAATGTTTATCTGATTAGAAAAAAATTGCTACAAAAGGAGTAAAATTTCATCAGAAAAAGTGAAGTAAAATAAAAGCACATATCGCAGAATTTATTACTCTTCCCCCCACTCTCACAAAGTCATGTAGGTATCTATCTATACCTTCTTTCAGGCACATACTAACATACGCGGGCTTATACACACAGAGAGATGTTTTGAATTACAAAAATGAATCACACTGAACACATAATTTTATGACTGTTTTTGACCTTAGAATAAAAGCCATGAATAAATAATAAGTCTGCAGATAGATCAAACTCATTCTTTAAAGTGCTACCCATTTTTCCAACTGCAGACCATACTTGTGGCTCACCTCCAAGGAGGACTTCATTTGCTATTTGCTGCACCCGACTTGCTGACCTGAGAAAACTTGTGGGGGCCTCTCCATTAAAGTGCTTTCAATGCTGATGGTGGGGAAAGAACTACTGCTTGTGACTGAAAAAGTCAGAGGGCAAAATAGTTCCTCACTGGAAACTCAGGTCTCCTGGGCCCATGAGAACAGAAGTCATCACAACTTTTACCACTTAGTTTGCTACTGCTCAGCAGATGTGCACAACAGGCTGTTGGCAGGTGCTGAGGGAACCACAGCTATGAGTAGGCAAGGAAAGTTGAAACTCATTAATGGAACTTGGAAGGAAAGATGGCCAGCAGAATAGAAATCAAAGATGCTTACTGAAGTAGAACCAATGGAAGAGACAGAAGAGAATTTTAATGAAAATATAATGGAATTACAGAACTCAAAAAAAAAAAAAAAAAAGACTTTCAGGAACCAAAAAGCATACGAGATTTTAATTAAAAATTCAACATTCCAGCAGAAAAAGAGAATGACTGACCTTAAAAACCACACTAGTGGTCAGAAAAATCAGGTGGAAGAAATCTCACAAGAAACTCAGTGACAGGTCTCCTGTTGAAAAAGGCCAAGTTGCATGGAGACCAGATCTAGGAGGAAGAAAGGAACATGGAAAGAAGAAATAATAACATAGATAATGAAAGAAATCTTTTACGACTTAATAATATCTTGACGCCCTATCAAGCATCAAGAGAAAATTTGGCAAACCTATTAGAAGTGTGGGAAAGTAGTTTCCCGGAATAGCAGAAAGCTGGGAATAGAAATACCTAGTGTTCAGGGACACTAGGGCACCGACTCTGGGGCCCTGCAGGCACTGAAGCCTTTACACGAGAACATTAGGCACAGAAGTTACTAAACTTCTTTCTTTGTCATGTTGTGTCACTGGTAGCTAAGTACCGACCTTAAGGACTTTGTAGTAAGTCTATCTAAAACACTGCAGGTGTCGATTTTTAAAATGCGACAGATACAAATTACATTAATGAAAATAAAACCTTAAAAACTATTTTAAAAAAGCCTCAATAAATAAGTCCATTACTGTTAAAGGAAATTACTACCCTATGAACTGAACACAAAGGTAATATGGTCATAGTTAAGGGCAGAGATTCTAGATGTAGAACCAGGATCAAGGTATTTTACCTTCAACACATTCACAACCAGGTCGTAATTCATGTCTTGCTGCTAAGAGGCTCTGAACCACTGGTGTTACACGCATGACTGTCCCATCAGGCGGTATGGGACAGTCCCATTGGGTGGTTCAAGCTACTAATGGGACTTTCATGCATATACCACCAGTGGTACAAGCAAGAGGGAATGTGTTAAGTGTCTTAGTTTCCTAACAAGTGAGTTGATATATGTATCACATTTCACAAGTGTTCAATAAACAACTGCAGTGCTGCTGGGAAGATTCCATAGCCACTGTCACACCAGGAAGACAGCACTGTATACAGAAGTTTAATTTTGGAGCCAGAAGACTTGAGTTCAAATGCCAGCTTTAAAACTTAAGTTTTATACTGCGGTCATGGTAGTTAATTCCTCTGTGCTTACATTCTTTTTTTCCATTTTGAAAAGAATCTGAATACCTGTCTCTCAACATCCATCCATTTATCTATCCATAAACATCAACTGGACACCACTTTCTATCAAGTATTATGTAGGATTGAGACATAAATGTGAGTAAGACACAGTTCTGCCTTCGAATTGCAGATCACAGTCTAGTAGAAAGTACATAAACCATCATGTGGGCATATCTTAAGGCTCCCTCTGCTTTGGAATTAAGGAAGGGCCTCAAGGGTAAGGTATATTTTTAGGCCCACAAGTACTATGGTTTTTTAAAACGGGGCAACATTTAATGTTGCCAGCAATTGTTATGCAAAAAGTGACCAGTTTCTGATATTCTGTATTTTGCTATTTTAAGAAAAAAAATACTATAAAGCAATTGGGTCACTAGGAAGCCAGCCTCTGTGCATGAAGTGGCAGTCTTCGGAGTGAAGGATGAGTGGAGAGCCGGATCCAATTTTGGATCAGAGAAGATAGAACACCTTGGAGAGGCTGCTTCTCTGTTCATGGGCTGGAACTGTGTAGTACATAATCTAATCCCTCAGAGTGACCTTTCAAAACTCAACGTGCCTCTGAAGAAACAGCTCTGAAGTCATTGTCCAAGAGGAGTCACTATCACTCGATCCCTTGTGAGCCACATCTGTCCCTTTATAGAGCAGCCTTGGCACGCAGTGTGGGAGATTATGGGGAACAAGTTCTTGGTTTCTCTTCTACTTCATCCCAATAAAGATCTTACCCTAAAGCTTGCTGGTATTAAGAGTGCTTATTTTGACTATCCCAGTGAGTCACCATGAGAAGGGTAGGACAAGTTGTTCTCCTTTGATATGCTAGTTAACTCAGAGGCTTTACGATATCTACAACAACATCAGATGATCCCTTGCACATAATGAACAAAGAGGCTGAGTTCACAGGACAGCCCGAATGTCTATTCTTTATATAGAAACAATGCATGCCAACATATTTTCATCTGTCACCATCAGTTGGCATTTAATAGCTATTAACTTAAAACTTTGTATTTAGAATCTAACAAATTATAAAGGCAACTCAGCATATATGTGAAGTAATACTAAGTACATTCACACATTTGGTATCTTTGGGAAGTACGTGATTGTATCATTATTAAAAATTAAAATTCAAAATGTTTTCTTTTATTACATTTATATAGCACCACAAAATAAAATGATTATATATATTTTAAAATCATGTATTTGACTCATAATTGGCCTGAATTATTAAAAATTCACTTGAATGGTGGCTATAGACATCACAAAGAATGATTCTGACTTTTGCATATGTGTGGGAAAAAAACTGTAAAAAGCCAATATATTTTTCAAGAGCTAAATGAGAATTATCCAGCAAAAAGGAATATTAACAGCTGTCATGTTTTAAAGTTTCAATTACACAATAAATTATGTTTCAAATGTCTTTACATAAAAAATCTAATACTACTACCCATAAATCATGAAATGTAACAACCAGTAGCGTTGTTTTTTTTTACCTAATCACATTTTAGACTTAGTAAAAACCTACTGCTTATAGAAAATAAATTCAGCAATTTATCCAAACATTGTTACATAGGACGTTTTAAGAAACTGTAAATAATTCTTAATACTCTCATTTTGATTCTCTGACTTCTCAAGACTATGTTGTATTTCTTTCAAACACACTTCCTGATGTTGTGCTTTCTGTATTAAAAAAAAGAGAAATACAGTCAATAATGGTATCATATCAAAGAATAAGAGTCATAATATAAAAATTATATATAGGTAACAAATGAATACATTTTTAAAAAATGTCTTAAAGTATCTTTACTGACCTGTCTGACCTGTCCATTATTAACTTACCTTAAATCTCACTTTTCTTTAAAACTAATGATTAAAGAATGCACATGGTTGATCTCTGCGATTTAGTCTGTTGTAATACACATTTACTGAGCCCCAAATCATTACATAGTTAACATATTAATTTAATAAGCAGGTTTTATTTAACTATCCTAATTAGTTTCCACTACTATTAATATTCCATATTTTCATACTAATTTTTGCACTTTTCTCTACCAAAAAAATTCATATTTTATCCCATAAGGCTGAGCTTTGTCTTAAAAACTGATAGAATTCTAGTTTTGATAACATAAACATTTTACTTTTAGAATCCTTTAAAAAGGACTCAATATTTTAGATGTTCTTTGGGAAAAAACAATTTAAAAACCTATACTTTAACTTTAGTTGCATATAAATTTCTAAGTAGATCAGTTCACTGAAAATGCTTTAGAGAAAGGTTGCTAATATCATCTAGCTTCCAACTAAAATGCAGTCATCTTGAGAAGCAGGGTCTTTCATGTCCTTCACAGCGGGTGTTCAACAATTCCTGCTACTTTGTGAAACTAAGGAAGCCTCCCAGGAGAAGCGGGTGGGGTGAGACAATGTGCCAGCCGGGGCTGCAAACAGTCACAGAATCCCTATGGAGACTCAATACAGTGAATCCCTATGGAGACTCATCTTATGCAACCATTTGGAGAGAAAGTAACACAGAAAGTAGGGTAGGAGGTAACATATGAATGGATTTTAGGATGAAACATAAGGCTTCACAGACATTTTGGGTTTCAGAAGTGTTGCCCTGGGTTAAGCTAGTAAAGTCACCCCATGAGTCTGTGCACCCACTCCACATCAAGTACAGTACGCAGACGGGGAGCAGAGCACCGTGGAAGACACCAGGAATGACTGCGAGGCAGGCTCTCCGGGTGCTTGTAACTCAGTTAGTGCTAAGGCATGCACTGTTATACGAAATAAATACAGTACTTAACAGTACCAAACTGTCCCTGAAAGGCACAGAACACAAACTTATTTCTCTGCTGTTTCTAAATCTATGCTTAGAATTCTAGATTTTTACTGGAGCACAAATTATCAAAATTATCAAGTTTAACATCCGACAATATCAGAAGCTCTGATACTGTGCTTTAAAAGAAATTTAGAAATAAAGGGAAGACCTAACAATGTGATAAATGCTTTCTGATTAAGTTATATACATATATATGTATATTTTACTTTCTAGTGCTGGGGCTTTTGCACTGAGCTACGTCCTCACCTCTTTAATTTTTTTATTTTTCAGAAAGGGTCTCCCTAAGTCACTAAGTTGCCTAGGCTGTGCGTGAAATGTGATTCTCCTGCCTCAGTCTTCCAGTGTGCTGGGATTACAAGCATGCACCACCATGTCCTGGCGAGTCATCATAAAATTTTTGATGACAATAAAATTAAACAGTGCATGCCAAAATCATTTAACAGTCGAGCCTTTTAGGTTTTCAACTTAGACAGTTGGGAATAAAAAAAGAGTTTTCATGAAGTCTCCAGCTCTTAGAAAAATAAAGTATCATTATTCTCCATGTCATTCAAGTAGATAGCTATTAAGTAATTTAATCACAACTAATGCTAGCTTCAAGAGTATATTATGCTGACTATTTCATGAATATTCAGGAAAAAACATTAAGACTAATTAAACACAGCCAATTTGTTATTCTCATTTCATGGTTGAGAGGATCAAAGCATTCATCTCATATGCAGATTTAATAATACTGAATATTTACTTAACATCAAATTATGTCTAAGATATAATATTCATTATTCAAGACAGATATAAAATCTAACTCATATATAATCTAAATTATGTTTATCTTTAAAAAATGAAAAATTCATACCATGAAGAAAATAAGTAGATTATAGCCATAACTTCATTAAGCAACTGTCATGAAAAAAGCATGCAGGGAAGTGGCTGCAGAGACTTGGGGCAATGTGGTAGATGTTGCAGGAGGGTGGGGTACTGAATTCTTCGGCAGGATCCCAGCATTCATATTTCTATGTTTTATAGTCTTCACTTTTGTACATTCAGTAAAGTGATAGGCTTGATTCTCCTCAATCTGTACTTTTAACTATTAACTAAACTACATGGTATGAACGTTAAATGTTGTTCCTTTTTAGGATTATATATTAAGCCATACTAATACTTACACAGTTTATTTTGCAAACAAGTTGGTTTTGTTCTTCATTTTTCTTTCTAAGCTCAGTTTCCAGGTCTAATATTTTAAGTTGTAAAGCCCTCTCTCTAGATGACATTTTCTCTATTTCTTCAGAAACCTGTAATTTTTATTAAGAGAGTAAAATAACTAAATGTACATTCTTCAAAATACAGTTTAAAGCCTTGGCATAGTTATACTATACTTTTTTTTTCCAAATAGATATTAATTAGATGTTAGACAATTGGGAAATGTTTAAAAATATTCTATCTTGAGGAAGGACAAATAGTATAAATATGTATATTGTCTTTATAGTATAAGTACCTGCAGTAGCTTAGGATGAAAGAGGTGAAATGCACTTTCATTGCTTTATGAGTTAAGTATTTTCCCCAACAATATATATTGGAACACACTAAGACCAACTGCCCTTTTTAATAGTATTTATATTTACCATAGTGTCTAAAGTAGAACACTAAAAGTTGTCATTAAACATTGATTATACATTTGGATAGAAAGCATGATGTACATACTACACATACTACACACCACACACACACACACACACACACACACACACACACACACACTGGCTTTTCATTCATTCATTTCCAAAGTGGTCTGAATTTGAATTTTCATATTTGTCATTTTATTTTAATAGAGTCTTGCTTAGCTACGTTCTTCAAGGATTTGGGCACGTGGGAGTTCATTTGTAAGATTGTTGGGTTGAGGCCACACGAATAAGAGTGGAGACAGGGACTGATCCAGGAGCAAGAAGCTAGTGGGAAAGACCACTGTCTACCCTAACTCTGTGGACTCAGTTCTAAGTTATTATAAAGTGACTTATAAAGATTTCTTCTGTGTATATATGTCAAAGGTGAGTGTGACTGGATTTAAAGCTTTGGGGGAAAGGGACCCCAGGACAATCATCCATGCCCTTGGCACTGCCCCCATGTGGCATCAGTGATGGAGAAGTCATGGCACTCCTTAGGTGGGAAGAAACTAGACAAAGGCCCATGTTCCACTGCAGGAGCAAACAGCAGGGCAGACATGCCTCAGGAACCTCTAGATTCCTTGGGGAAGGAATCTGAGTACCCATTGTATTTTCAAAGTCCACTTAGGCTCAATTTAAGGTAAAAATCACCTTTTTCTTCTCCCCAAAATTGGTAGGGCCAAAAAATCTGTATTTCATTCCTACCATTGGCAATACACTTAATTAACTTTCATTTAATGATGTATCTCCAAACATCAATATATATTAGTTTCCAAGAGTTTAAAAAAAATCAAAAATATATATGTGACACTTGTGATGTAAGTCTCACTTTTCAAGGATATCAGATTTTACCTTTCATGGAATTAGCATTAACGGGCCTGAGGAACCCCAAAGAAGAGAGCTTGGAGAGAAAGATTCGGAGTTTGGTTTTAGACATGTTAAGTTTGAGATGTCTATTTTAAGTAGAGATGCCAAATAAGTAGTAGAATACGAGCCTGGATTTCAGTCAGGGCAGAGATATACATCTGGGTCATCAGAGTAGAAATGATCATTTTTTAGTGTCACTTGTTCTATGAGGAAACTTATCATCTGCTTTTATTGATTGAGAAACTTAAAGTTCTTTTGGAGGAGTAATCTGCCCTGAGGCAGGGTACAATGGGTCAGAGCCACAATTCAAAGCTAGTTCCTGTTGGACTCCAAAGCCCACTTTAAATCCTTTCGAGATTAGATTTTCAAATTGTTTGATAAATTCACTCCTTCTTGGAGGTCTTTCTGAATCATTTCTCTTCACCTCCAACTTGAGATAACTACTCCTTTTGAGGCATGTGTAGGAACACACCTTCTATTATAGCTTTTACCCATGGGATGACATTTGCTTGTTCCCATGGTACTCCCTACTGCACAGGTAGTGTTGTAAAACTGAGGACTTCCCATCTTTGCCTTTCAAACACTAGGAGAGTGCCTGACACACAGGGAGCCATTTGGTTATGCTGAAAACTAACCTAATGGACTTAACTGGAATTTAATTCTTGCATGTATTTATTTGTGCAAAAAATTTGTGAAAAAGAACTTGAGCTTTACAACTCACTAGATCATGATCAAAGCCAAAATTTTTAGTTACGTGCACATTCAACTTAGTTTTATATTTTTTTAAAAAAAGGGTCAGGGAAGAGGTTACATCTTCAAAGTATTTTCCATCTCTGCCTTTACCCTGCCACATCACCACTTATCTGGTGGAGTAACTCTAGCCCAGTAACGTATCTGTTTTTCTCTAAAAAAAAGTAGGTAACAAATAAAAAAGGAACTGTTCCCTTTACCCTGTCATCAAGATAAAAACAATAACTGTAGGTCTGGCAACATGAAACGCTAGCTGTTTAAAAAGATGACTGGCAAACTGATTAAAACGTTTCTAAATAAAGGTCATCTGTACCTTCTGTCTTCCTTCTTCTAAAGCAGCCTCTAGTTGCCTGGCCAATGCTGAATATTCTGCAGATTTCTCTTTAAGCTTCAGATTGCTGAGCTTAAGACATTCTTCTTGGTTTGCTAGCTTCTTCTCAAGTTCTTTATTCTCTGCATCCATCTGTTCTAATTTTCTTTTTACAGAAAATATATATTTAAAAATTATAATGTATAGGGAAAAAAATGTAACACCAATTTTAAGTCGATTTAATACTTACTGTTTAAGGTTTTCACACTTCAACTGAATAAGATAATTTTCCTCCTCAAGAGAAAGCTTTGTCAGAAGACTATGATTTCCATCAACCTAAAGAAAAATGTTTTTTCATTATTTTCTTTATAATCAACTCCAAAGAAACCCATATATTTTATCATCAGATCCACAAGGAACATATATTTAATATA